CAAATTCAAGAAGCACAGGAAAGCTACAATACCAAAATGATAAAACAGTCTGAGGTAAATCCAAGAAAGAAAGTGTACAAAGTTCATGACATGGTTTCAATTAAAATAGATAGAGTGGACAAGAAATCTCCTTTCCACCCAAATTTACTTCTGGGAAAAGTGCTTGAAATTGAAAATAATTATGCGAAAGTGGTGACACCTTTTGGTCGCATTAAAGGGTTCATTGCCCCTTCCAGACTTTTCCCATGTACTGCAACAAATGTAAAACTTGCAGATTATGAAAAAGAAATTTCTCTCACTGGTACATGTAAATTGGCCAAAAATGCTCAATAATATCTTCAATGTTTTCTTGACTTTGTTACTTAAATGGTAGATGAATTGTAAATATTCTATTTTGTTGTGCTGCAAGTAAAATACCTAAATTAAACGAGGCTTACCTGTAAGGTGAAGTTTGATTGGGATTCTGTGAGTCATTGGTCGGGAGCGAAGGAGTCATGTGCCCACCCATGTGTTATTAACCCGCCCATGACTGGGTGTAAGTGCTCACATCTGTTAAAGACTGATCTTCCCAGGCTCGTGCGCCTTCTCACATGACTCCTTCGCTCCCGACCAATGACTCACAGAATCCCAATCAAACTTCACCTTACAGGTAAGCCTCGTTTAATTTAGGTATTTTACTTGCAGCACAACAAAATAGAATATTTACAATTCATCTACCATTTAAGTAACAAAGTCAAGAAAACATTGAAGATATTATTGAGCATTTTTGGCCAATTTACATGTACCAGTGAGAGAAATTTCTTTTTCATAATCTGCAAGTTTTACATTTGTTGCAGTACATGGGAAAAGTCTGGAAGGGGCAATGAACCCTTTAATGCGACCAAAAGGTGTCACCACTTTCGCATAATTATTTTCAATTTCAAGCACTTTTCCCAGAAGTAAATTTGGGTGGAAAGGAGATTTCTTGTCCACTCTATTTATTTTAATTGAAACCATGTTATGAACTTTGTACACTTTCTTTCTTGGATTTACTTCAGACTGTTTTATCATTTTGGTATTGTAGCTTTCCTGTGCTTCTTGAATTTGTTTTCTTTTCTGCTTTCTTGGTCCTTCTTCAATATCATGGTCTAATAGTTCCCTTTTGGCCATCATGTGAAACACTGCTTCATATGGTGTCATGTTGATAGCATGATGATAAGTAATGTTGATGATGTAGGATGCTTGCATTGTGTACTTGCACCATTTGGAAATTTGGAGACCACATATTATTAAGCTTCTCATGTTTTCTTTGAATGTACGATTTGACCATTCCACTAGCCCTTGAGTTGTTGGAGTCCTGGCTGCTCCATGGAGAAGTTGGATCTGGTTAGTGCTACAAAATGCTTTCATTTTATTGTTTTCAAATTCACCTCCATTATCTGTTAAAATTGTTTTGGGGTAGCCATAAGTTAAACAATACTTTTGAACTTCGTTCAGTACCTCATCAGCAAGTTTGTTATGGATGGGGTGAACATTAACAAACTTTCTGTAGTGATCAATAATATTTATAGTCCACTTGTACTTTGGTTCACATGCACATGGGCAATTCCTGAAATCCAGAAGATCAACTTCTATCAAGGAAAGGAATGTTAAAGCTTGAAGAGGACTTACCATGGGTTTCACTTTGGTGGTTATGGGTTTTTGTTCTGCGTGAAAACGGCAAAGAGAAACAAAAGTATTCACAACTTTCTGTGTTACTTCGGAATAATTCTCAGCAATTCATTTCTCAGTTTTTGTCGTCCTTTGTGAGCATGCAATTCTATTATGGCATTTAGAAAGTAAATGTATATCGAAGAGCATTCCTTTATGTGCAACTTTTTTCCCTTCTGAGGTTAATAACTTCTCATTTGCATATTTCCACTTTTTTCGCTTGATAGTGTTGATTTCTGCCTTTGAAAGCTGCGGTGTTTTGATCGAAGGTGCAATGTCAAGCTCTTGTTCTGTGCATACAAGTAACCACATGTAGTTTTTGACTGTCTATCTTTTTCCTTGTTAGAAGATTGTAGATTGTGCCTTACAAAAGTTGTGGTTGACTCTCATATATATGTACCTACTTAATACTGTAGTTTGACCATAGGTTGTCAACCTAATTTCTCTGACAGGCTATGCAACTCTACAGATTTTACCCACTTAATATATTAATTAGCACTACCTCAACTGGTTCATAAAGTGTTATATTTTGATAATATAAATGGTGCTGGCTAACTAACCACCCACTCCGATTTCTATTAAAAAGGGGATGGAACTTTGAGTTACAAGTGGAATTTTCTCTTATTTCATAATTTAGGAGTAAAATAGCAATAGATTTTAGAGAAGAATTCAGGAATTGGGTGAAGAGGGGAATGGATAACAGCTGGTCTTTGCTGTTTTTTAGCTTTAGCCATTAAAGCTGAAGTTATTTTTGTTTACTAATAGGTATTGATGCAAGCCACTTGGAAACCTTCAGTAATGTAGATAAGTAGCACACCATTAATTGTGCATGTACATTTTCGTTTCTTCTAGATAGTACTTAACATTTACCAGACATGAGTATTACTGCATAGATTTTCAATGAATGTGTTGGCGTTTGAGCTCACAGCAGATTACAAACTGAATGGCTACAGTGAAGGTCAAAACTTCTAGGAACAATTATTGAAAACATATTGTACATGTACCTAAAATGAACAAAACAGAAGAGAACAGAAACATTCAACAAACAAAGAATTAAAAAGGTGACTTTGTACTGATTGTCAAAAACTGAAAGTTTTTTTTAAATGTGGTACTTTAAATGTTGGAACCTACCAGTAATGATGCAAAAAGAAAGTGATGTAATCTAGAGGAGATCCTAAAAATGTGCAAAATGCTGCAAGTACTGTATTTACCCCAGTGTAATGCACATCCTTGTTTTTAACCTAATTTCTCAGAAAAAAAAGTTTTTCATGGCAAAAAAGACAAGTTAAATATTTGTACAATTAATTATTAAGACAAAAAGAATAAGAAATTTACTATAATATTATTATATTGCTAACATTGATATCTTTTGCTATTTAGTTATTTATGACATTATTGAAATCAAACTTAATAAGGACTTCAAGTGAGGCCTAGCTAATTTGACGATTCCATGGCCCGGTAAATATTATGAGTGAGCAACAATATGATTTTGTGTCATATCGTCATACTTTTTTAGAATTTTCAAACTAACGCTATACAATTTTCTGGCCATAAAGTTAAGTAAACAACAATATATCTGCAGTGAATTCCACTGCGTGGGCTATGTATATACCCAAGAAATTTGCGCGTTTTTCGCTTATAACAGCAAATCAAGAACTGCTTTCAATAAAACTTTTGTCCTGAAATATTTCTTGCTCACTTTGTTCTTGCTTCTCTTTGAAAAATTCGATGTAACACAAGATCTCTTCACACTCGGCCAAATTTGCATAATTTCTTATTCACTTTAAAATCTGATCCAGGTACCTGTTTGCACACTTAGGAAAATATGTAGCGATTTTTGTCTTTCTTCTTGATTTTAGAGTATAAACACTTAATATGCACCAATAACTTTTCATTGAAAATAAGTTATGTAATCAAAGCTTTAAATGTGTTACTTTTTTTTGTTGTATTTTTATCGTATGCAAATTAGGACGTATATGACAAACAATGGAATCCGTGTTTAATACGCACCGCGATTTTGATGGTTATTAATTTTTTGTAGGGAAAAAGTGCGCATTATACACAGGTAAATACAATACTTACTGGTACATGGTTTTATTTTTATATCAGTTAGTGAGTGCAGGGCAGTATTCTACATTCCTACTTCCTGTTCTGTTATGAGAGTGGGCAGTATTCCTCTATTTGTTGGTCAGCTCTTAGAAGGCAATATCTGTTTTTGGTTGAGTCATTTTGCAGAGCATCTCTAGCTTCGTTTAAGTTTTTCATAAATATATATCTTGTTTTACAAGCTGGGCAGTGTTTTCAAGCAAAGATTTAATTCTGTCATGACTGATAAATAACATAAATTATCTCTTCTCTCTCTCTCTCTCTCTCTCTCTCCCTCACTCTCACACACAAATCACTTTGGTTTTTCTGCAAAAATTGATTTTGCAATAAACTTTTTGGAACTAAATTTGTTTTTTAAAAAAGATTGAAATGCCTCCCTAAAAAACCATTTGTAATTTAAATGATCCCTTGCATGAAGTAACTCAGAAAGTTAAAATGAGAGGTATCAATCTGCAGTTGACAATTATATTTGTCATCATGTGTCTCTCATTCATTTAAAATATCTGAATTCTCTAAAACAGTTGTTCTTTTGTGAAACATTAAGCTCAGTTTTGAGATCTTCTTTAAATACATGCACTTTTCACCCATTCTTTGCAAGTCCATTGAGTTTGGCCATTGCAGATTTCAAACAAACATAATAGACTCTTACAACTCGTGAAACACACATTTGTGTTCACTTACAATTTAACAGAGTTAAATCTTTTAAGATTAATCGTCATTAGAAATAGCTAAGTGTTTTTGTGATATCTCTGAAAGTTTTTTTAGGAGTATAGCTCATTGCATGGTCATTTGACTAGTGCGTGTTTGCCATACCAGTACTGAATGTTCATTC